GCGGGAAAAATATAACAATCCAGGATTGCTAAACGGGCTTTATTATCTTTAAGAATGCATGACGTATGAAAACGATTTTTCTCTCTACCTTTATACCAGCATACTTCATGTACAGAATACAAATAGAAAAGCATCTTTACTTTCGTAATCAAAAATGTTACAACCAGGTTTCCTGAAACCAATGAAGTAATTCTTAGTAAAGACCAGAAGTAAAGTTCTTACAAGGCCTAGGAGACGGAAATATGACATGTAATTTAAACATTCTTTAGTGAAATAAATTTATTTGTACCGATATTACATGGGACATGTGTATCTGACATACACATGAAGTTGGTCCTGAGCCAATATTTCGATTTCTGGTTGTCAGTGTAGTGAGATAAGCTTTCATTATTTCTTACTTCAAGATCAGTGGGACGGTTGACTCAGGTCCGGGACGGGATGAATATTGGACTCATAAGCCAATCGTGACACCCACCGAGCTGTCAAGGAATAGTTACTGTCGGTATATTTACACAATTATGAAATTATTTTTTTATTGCTAGTGGAGTTGGACTAAGTCCCTTGTACTGCGGTACCTTCTGGCCTATTGTACCTGCCCCAGATGATAGGTGAGGGTGATTGTGGAGCAACTGGGGGAATGAAGATTGGCAGGGGAAACCTAAGTGCTCGGAGGAAACCTGCCCCAGCGCCACATTGTTCACCAGAAATCCCACTTGACCAGACCCGGGATCGAACCCGGGCCGACGCGGTGGGAAGCCAGCGACTAAACGCTTGAGCTATGGCGCCGCCAATTATGAAAGTAACTTTGGTAGAGTCTGTCTTTTCGATCCCATGAAAGCTTGGATCTTAGTTTCGAATCACACTCAAAGTATGGATGTGTATTCTGTTTATGTTGTTTTGTGTGCAGGTAGAGGCCTTGCGACGGGCTGATCACTCGTCCAAGGAGTCCTACAGTCTGTGTAGAAAAGATTAGGGAAACAAAGAAGAGGTCAGGGGCCAACAGAGGGCTGTGGAGCCATTGATGAATGAATGAATGAATACTGGTGGATTAGAACAAGCATTGCCAAGAACCGCTGAGGAATAAATATGAAGTGATATTTGAAAAAGAGAAATCAGTCGCGTTTAGTTTCTAGAGTTTTGTATTTGTATTATATTGGAGAGGGTGGGTTTCCCCATGCACTTAGACCAACTGTTGGTCCATTGTGCGTCCCTCTATGATATTCTACCAGTCTCTATATCCTACCGGTACTGGTGCTTACCATCAGTCCCGCCCAGCCAGCGAGACCGGCTCTACCAGCTGAGAGGTATCTATAATGCTTCCCCCATCTACCAGAGGTATTAAAGACTGCAGTTGGGCGGGAAACGTCCGTTAATTTGGCTCAGTGAACTCCTTTGGAGATATGAGGTTCTTTTACGTGCCGTAAAGCTACGACACGGGACCCACGGCTTAAAGTCCCTCCCGGAGGACTTGTTCCCTGAATTTTTCCGCCCTTAAAAACTCCACGACCTCCGCCGGTTTTGAACCCGCGTACCTTGAGTCACGAGTTGGGAACGTTACCCTAGACTACGGAGGCCGCTTAGTTTCTGGAGTTACTTGTTATTTATATAAATCGACAAAAAAAAAACGACGACGGCAATATATAGAAATATAAGGCCCCCAAGTTTTTCCCAATTACAACTAAATGAAGATATTATTAAAGAGAGAATTGTTTAGTCAGTGGCTTATGATTGAGTGGGAACGTATGCAGATACAAGCAATTTCGTAACTGAAACTATGGCTAATGTGACTGTTTTCACACTTACCGCAAGTAGACTTAAAAAGAACGGTTATTTCAAGAGGAGTGCAGAAAGCGCAATGGAACATGAACTACTCAAAATATTTACGAAAATAAATTACGACAAATAACCTATTTGTAAAACGTGTTAAATATCTATTACAGAATTCCGAATCAGTCTGAAAATTTTAAACGTCTTTTACGTTATATTCCATATTCATCTGAGACCCCCTAAGCCAATCAAACTCGGAATGAATCGGTGGTACTCACTGATTTATATTATTTGTTATGGAATCTGTGCAGACAACGTAATACATTTATATGACATACAGGCTACAAGTCTATAAAACTTCTTCTATTTTCTTGACATGGGAATCTCCGTTAAATGAAATAAATTCTCCCTTAAACTTGGTTTTATGTCTGAATTTCCAGTCACGGAACAGAATTCTCGACGAAGTAGGAGGAAGGAGAGTTCAGTTTCCAGGAACCAAATTCCAGAGAAGGGCAAACGCTTCGCTGCTGCATTCCGACATAAAAAATATCGACCACACGTAAACTTTTTCTTTCTTTTCTAGCTACAGTAGCATATTGAAAAAATGAAAGTCGGATTCTTCTGCTGGATTTTGCACACTCCCACTTGAAGCGAATTTAAAAGACATATATCTATACATATATGTGCAAGCAAAAATCAAAGGGTTTTACGTCATGCATTCTTAATCTTCCCTCAGTATTTTGCTTAAGACATAAATCATGATGCAGTTTCGGTTTCACCTGATTTTGAATTGTAATAAAATAGGAGTTTCAAAGAAATCCCGTGTATCTTATGGTGTTAGCTTCGTATTCTATTTAGAGCAAATTAAATCTAATGAATATCTATCGATTCCGAGATTAAAACAAAATGTTGTATTAGGAATGTCTACTAAATGCTTGCAACCATTTTCGTATAACCTGAAATTTGTCTAAACTCTTTATATTCATAATATAACAATGTCATTATTATTACTCCTATTATTATTATTATTATTATTATTGATTCTTTGATATTAATATATAGAAAAGAGATCATTGGGAAGACAAAGGCGTAGGTGGGTGAACAATATTAAAATGGACCTTAAAGTATGAGATGGTATGGATTTGATTGATCTGGCTCAGGATAAGGACCAGTGGAGGGCTCTTATGAACATGGTAATGAAACTTCAAGTCCCATAAAGGGCTCGGTAGTTCTTGAGTAGCTGCACAACTAGCGGCTTCTCAAGAAGGGCTCAGCTCCACGAGTGNTAGAAAAGAGATCATTGGGAAGACAAAGGCGTAGGTGGGTGAACAATATTAAAATGGACCTTAAAGTATGAGATGGTATGGCTTTGATTGATCTGGCTCAGGATAAGGACCAGTGGAGGGCTCTTATGAACATGGTAATGAAACTTCAAGTCCCATAAAGGGCTCGGTAGTTCTTGAGTAGCTGCACAACTAGCGGCTTCTCAAGAAGGGCTCAGCTCCACGAGTGAGTGAATGATTGAGTTACTTATTCTTAAGCTTATAATAGGAGGCATACAGGATATTTGAATCTTCAGAGAACATACAGGGTGATTCAGAAAGATGGACACAATTTCAATTGGCTATATTTCCTGAATTATATGTTGCATTTGAATTCTGTAAATTACACTTGATTATACATACATGGAAGTTTATAGATGTTCAATGTGCCCCCACTCCTCCGGCTGCACGGATAACATCTAGACGGCAGCTGAATTCATCCTACACTCGATGACAAATATCTTGCGTCACTGAGTTCACCGCAGCTGTGATACAGTTTCTTAGGTCATTCAAATTTGTGGGAAGAGGTGGTACACGCCACACAATTGTTTGCGATAGTCCAAGTTCTCTACTAGCACTATGGGTTGACTTCATTGTGCTGCGCTCAAAGTTCACTCGAATGCACTCCACGTTCTCCTCCGATACACGCGATCGGCTCGGGATTTTACCCTTACACAGAGAGCCAGTTTAATCAAATTGTTTATTCCAACGATAAATTCTCTTCCTCGTTGTAGGTTGCATGTTAAACTTACGACGAAATGCACGCTGCACCGCTGTCGCAGACTCACTTTTACTGAACTCACGAATGCAAAAAAATCTTGTGTTGCATAGTAGCCATCTCGCTTACAACTGACGGGGTGCTGGAGTACTCTAGCGGTAATATTAGAAACTTTACAACATCCTCTTTCAAGTGTACTTTACAGAATTCAAATGCAATATATAGTTCAGGAAATATAGCCAATTGAAATTGTGTCCATCTTTCAGAATCACGCTGTATAATTACCTTCAGTGAGAGACAGATGCCTTCAACCGCTAGTTGACCTCGGTTTTTATATTCTGTACATCACATCTAGGGCATGTGAAAGGGACGGAAAAGAAATAAATGAACGGGAAATTTTGTCACAAACCCCAAGTTAAATTTTCAATCGGAGTTTCCACTAATATTTATTGTTTTTCGGGTTGTTGTTGTTGTTGTTGTTGTTGTTGTTGTTGTTGCTGTTGTTACACGGTAGTTAAAGGCGAAATTATTCGTGACATGTTTCTCATTTTTGTATAATTTTCTTACAAAATTCATATCACAAGCGACAATTAAGCCTAACTGAAAAACAACTGATATTACGTACATGAAATTAATAACGCTGGAAAAAATACTTCGAAAGAGATATTACATTTTCGCACGGATTTTAATAGTTAACTTTATCAACGACCTGTATGGGACAAGAATTCATATCAAGCTTTAAGTTCCAGTAAGAGTAACGTGGCTCTCATGGGAAAATTTTAAGTTTTGAACAGCCTGGATTACACCTCGGAGACAAATCAGCAGATGTTCCCAGGTGCAACAGAGTAGGAAGACACTGATCCAGCAGGAATCACTTCCCACGTACAAATAGGCTGTGCACAACAGGAGGAACACAATTTTTTCCCCCTTGGCACTACAGCCCCAGTGGGTCTAGGGTTTTTCTAGATCTTACACATTCGGTAGGACTCCTTGAGCAGGTGATCAGCTCGTCGCAAGGCCTCTACCTGTACACAAACACAGAAAAACGCACACAAACATCCATACCCTGAGTGGGATTCGAAACCACGATCCCGGTTTCCAAGCGAGCGAAGACAGTACATGCCTTAGACCGCTCGGCTACCGTGACCGGCGGAACAAAATATACTAATACAAATTTATTTCTGTTCTATTTCAGATAACTTTCTTCTGCTACAAGATATTCGATTCCTGGGAATCATATATCAAGGTCATATATTATTAAATTCTTCTTGTTCTTAATATTATACACTTGATATTATCGTTACACAGAAATGAGTACCAGGAATTAATTAAATAATTTTCCTGAGTAAAGCGCGGCCGGCGCGTAAGGCTGACAACCTTACCGCCACCTATGAGCCGATTGTCTATATAATGTAGGACCCTCAACGTCTCACAACTCTATGGGCCTTTACAGCCTGGTACAGGGATAGCTTTACTTTTTTTACTTTACTATTACTGTTATTATTTTTATTATTATTATTTGTCTGTGTATGTTTCCTTCTGTATCTTTATTCATGTTAACTGTGTAATTAATATAGACTATCATTTTTGTATTTTGTTTTTTAATTATTTTTGTGTATTTCTCTATTCGTGCTAGCTTTGTAATTGGCCTCTGTGCTGTTAAATTTGCACGTAAATAAACACGAATTGAATTGAATTGAATTGAATTACTGTTGTTGTTGTTGTTGTTGTTGTTGTTGTAGCAGTACGAATTGTTACAGCTATTATATGAGACATGACAATCTTTGCGCTTACCTTCTTATCACAGATTATAACTAGTGGTACTCTTCATTTATAAATGGACGCCATATAAGTCATCCGACAACCGTATCAAATGTACAGTCAAAGTATTGTTACTGTTTGAAAGTCTGAATGCAAATACGTATCGTTTGAGGGGACTGCTTACTTTAGGCAAAACAGAAATGGATATTTAGTGGACGGGGACCTGTGGGCCTCAGAGCCCTTCAGAGGGAGGTAGTGAATGGAATCGAAAGTCCCATGCCGTGAATGTTAGCCCGTCTGGACATATTTGCGACGCTCGGTTACTATAACAAACTTAGACGAACGTAAAGAACCTGGAACGGAATAAGGGTCAGTCACCCTGTGAGTGTGGGAAGATACGTCACGTATGATTGGGACGACATGGGGGAAAATAGGAATGCAAATAGGATGTTAGTGGGAAAGTCAGAAGGAAAGAGACCACTGGGAAGACCAAGACGTAGGTGGGCGGACAATATTAAAATGGATCTTAGATAGATAGGTTTGGATGGTACGGAATGATCTGGCTCATGACAGGGACCACTGGAGGGCTCTTCTGAATACGGTAATGAACCATCGGGTTCCATAAAATGCTATGAAGTTCTTGAGTAGCTGTACAATTGGCAGCTTCTCAAGAAGGCCTCAGCTCCATGGGTGAGCGAGTGACGTGGGAACGACGGTGCTCTGTCTGCCGCTCTGTTCCCATCCAGCACTCTCTGCCCTATGTCAACTAGCCGAAAGGGGTTGTCGCTAGTCATCGTATGTGATAATCAGTATCAACATTCCTGTGATCAGAATAAATAAATATCCTGAGGGGAATGAATAGAAGTAGGCTAAAGATGCAGGCGAAACAGACTAAGAAAAATGAATGGGGCAACGGTTCCTGAGATTCCTCTCAGCAGCCTCAGTATAATTTCCCATTCAAATCATATTGTTCCAACTTCTGTCTGCGACTCTGTTGAGGCTAAAGAATTTATGTTGCGATTTTTACAACATGTTTAGTATATGCAGGTTTACTATAAATTATTTGGGTGATAAGAAACTAATGAATTTTCGAAACGGTTACTGATAAAAATATGTATAAGTAAAGGTATCCCTGTAACAGACCTTGAAGGCCCATAGGGTTGTGACATGTTGAGGTTCCCACATTTACCAGACAATCCGCTCATAGATGGTGGTAAAGTTGTCAGCCCTACGCGCCGGCCGCCCTTTACTCCCAAGAGCATTCCAAGAATATTCCTGGTACTCATTTCTGTTAGAGGCTGAGTCGACCCCAGCGCCATAATGCGGCTGGAAGGATTAAGTAAATTGAAAATATCCACCTCATCGGCACTCGAATCTGCGACCTTCTGGCATGTAGCATAGTGCCTCAACCAACCAAGCTACTGCTTGCCCCGCTTATAAATAAATACTTAATGAAAATAGCATGGTACTTCCTCTTAAACCCCCTTGGCATATATGAATATATGGCTCTAAAATTACTGAGTACTCTGTAAGACAGCGTGGCAAATTGCGTGTAACATGAATTTTTCTTCAGGATCAGGGAATAAGATGCCACCACAACAGCGGGCTCTGTGCACCCTCCGACATTTACACATCCCAATGAACACAGAGTGGCCCATATTAAGATTGCGACGCATGTAACGTTTTCAGTGCAAGGAACCCAAGAAATGAGCTTGGGTAGATGTCATTTTGCCATTTGTATAAGCCATACTAAAAAGAGAAAGTTGTTGAGATACTGAATACCTACGTCATGAAGGATTGTTAATGAAGTTTTTCTGGTCAGATGCTCAACAGTGCACGTGTCGGTTATCTGCATATTTGATTCCAGCACATGAGTCCTTACAGCAACTCCAATTAATGTGGGCACAAGGCACTGCCCAGAAATCAATATTTAAAAGGGATAAATTTCAAGGTATTTCGGTGCCCACATTCTTTCATAATTCAGACACGTGATCCGGTTTCACCGACAATTTGAACGCGTTGTCGGTCCTCCGGGTCTTAAGGTATTTTGTTACGTAATGACGCCGTTAACATCGAGTCTGCCTAGAGTCTGTAATAGAATGGTTAATGAATATGGAAGAGTTGGTGGAATAAAAATTGGCAGATGAAACCGAAGTATTTCGAGAAAACATGCCCTCGTTACCATTATGTCCACCATAAATCCCATGTGACCTGACCTGGGAACGAACCAGGACCGCAGAGGTAGAGAGAACTTCAATTCAAATTATGGTACTATTATCCGAAGTCTTTAAAAATTATTCGATGAAGTATATGAAGAAATACATTTTTTGTTTTAATAAAGATGATGAATTCCTTAATAAGCTACGGAACTGTTGACTTCTCAAACAAAATTCTAGTCAATGGAATTAGCTAAACGCTCCTCAGTCCTTGTAACAACGTGTAGAGATGATAATGGGAGATGAAGCACCTTGTAATAACCACTTATTTCAGAATTACAAATTAGTAATTACTAATAAGACCGTTGTAGATTTGTAATGGAGTTCCGTGCAAAGGGATATCGCTGTGAATATGAGAGCATACTGTAGGCATGCTCACTTATAAACGGTCTTGTATATCCTAGTAGAATAGGTGAAACTTAAGGCTGTCTGAATGTTTAACTTGCCGGAGCCATTTGCATATTCATGAACACAATGTGTGTGTTCGGAGATACGCCCCTGATTTACGTATATCCCTGGAAACAGGGTTTTGGTTCAGTGTAATGGACCTAACAGATTGGGCTCCGTACTTTTACTAGAAAATTGAAACAGAGCAAGCTTCTAGAACGTCGTTCCATTTTCCTACAAGGGAAACCATTGAAAATGTCCAACATTTATCAGTGGAACAACATATCTTCTTCAGAAATTTATAGATTGCAAAATGTTTCATGAAATGTACTTTCGTAATATTACTTATAATTTAGCCCATACCTCTTATAATGAATGCTGTTTATGTGTAATTTATTTCAAGTTTAAATAGCGTTTGCTCTTGATATTTCCCCATTACAATACTTCTTTCAATCCATGTTGCAGAACATCCATTTTTATGAAGCTTATTTCTGTATATCTACAGTTCGTTACGCACAATATCGACACATTAGTTATGCTTTTTGTATAGCCTGCATACTCGAATTCCTTCTGCCCAAACAAACTCATGCACATGCGACACGGAATACGTAATCTGCTATGTAAACTCACCGACAGCTGAAATCGTGTCACCAAAAAGGCACAGCAACTTTTGATATAGCACAACATTCCCTTCTCATGGCTACTGGAGGTCCCAACCCCAACAGACTAGTGAATGTTCAGTAGAACTTACCATAACCCAGTTGGCAGGTGGCGCTGTTCAGACGTACAGTTTGACAAAGCCGAATGATTTTCACGCAGGACAGTTGTTTCGAAAGTTTTTGTGGCGTATTTTACGAAGATATTAGTACATATAACGTCAAATGTTACAATGAATAGCAAATAATGTAAGGATGTGTAAGAAGGCTGTAGTGATCTAATGGAGTCTTCGTATAAATTCCTCAGGTTTGAAGTATAGATCTATATTCTTTACAAATGTAGCATTTTCTTCAAGTCCATTTTCGCGTTTACCAACCCATTTTTAAATGCTATACAAATCGTAAGCCTGTTATCCTTACACACGAGTTGGTATTATTTTGGGGAGGGGGTATTTTACAAATTGTGAATTAGAACGAATTTGGAAGGATGCGGTATTGGCCTAATCAAGGTGTTATCCTTGGAATTTTTCTGGAATGAAACTAGGAAATCCCTCAGTCTGGCCAAGATTCGAATAGAGTACATCCAGAATTCAAGTCCATAGCGTTATGGCAATATGTGGCTTCGTGGTGTGTTGAGAAGAAAGGAAAAATTATGGAATTTCAGGACAAAGGAAGGACACTTCTGCCAATTAAATATATTAAGTTGTCACAAAGAAAACTGGGTCCCAGTCAGGGCATGGATGTGTGTGTGCGTTTTTCTGTGTTTGTGTACAGGTAGAGGCCTTGCGACGAGCTGATCACCCGCCCAAGGAGTCCTACCATATGTCTAAGATCTAGCAAACCGAAGTGAAACGGAGAGTTTCATGGAGGTAGACCTAGGCCCAAATGAGGGCTGTAGCGCCAAAGGGGGGGGGAGAAAAGAAAACTGCGAGTGCAAACGGTTTTTTACCTTGTAGATACGGTAATAAATATGTAAATAAAAATTAATGGAATAAACCACATGGAGTGACGTATTGTAATTCTGAATATATCAGAGTGTCTGCTCAGCTGTTTTGTGGATAATAAGCTACTCAGAAGAATGCAGCTTATAATAAGATTAGACGATCGAAAAGCAAGCTTGTTATTTATAATAAAAATTTATATCGCAAGGAGAACTAAAACCTGGTAATCCCTTTACAAAATCATAGGAACTTGCTATTAGAGCTTTATGAAAGAGTGCAAAATGT